GGAGAAAGGGAAGGCAACCTCAGGGGAGCTGTGAAGCGGCTCTGGAGCCCTCCGTCTCCAGGCTTCTTGCCAATATAGCATTTCACCTCAACCAGTAATACTTATTTTATAGAAAACCACAGCACAGTCTAGAGTAGTACAAGCCTTTATAGGCCAACAACTACTACTCCATTCAGTGACTTTGTAGATGGCAGATTGAAGCATTTGAGGGCAGAAATCACAGATGAACCTAGCACACTCCCCCTGAGCCATAAGTGGTCTCATTCTAATTTTAGGGCCTCCTCAAAGTAAATCTGAATTCTGCTGAAGAGAGCTGTGCCACTGTCTTCATCACGCACGCCTACAATAGGATGCAGCTCACACAGGTCCCTCAATAAATCCCAGGCTGACACAAAAGCTGTCAGTGGACTGCTGCTGAATAGATTAATAAGATTTCCATAATTAGACAGGCCCCTGACAATAGGATCCTTCAGGCTTTGTCTCAGCACCAACTGGATTGTCCGAGCAGCGCACGTCTGCTGGATGGACATCCACCACAATGGCCGCACAGACAGTAAGGCCGTCAGCAGGAGAACATCTGTCTCTCCTGGGGCCACAAACACACACTCACACAGTGGAAAGTTTCATATACATACACACACAGTTCTTATCAACCTCCTTGCAGCCAAGTAAGGCCATAGGTCAACAGCGAAGCAGTCTCCCCACATATTTATGTATCCTTAACCTAAACCCATTTCTGTTCTCGATCAATTCAACATCACAACTGATAAATGATAACAAATATTAACTTCTAACCCCTTTTTGAAGAGATTACAAAGCAGCTTTACCTAAATTAACAACAGCAAGAAAATCTTGAAATGATTGAATCTGAACAGGGTTCCCATTTTAAACATGCTGAGGTTATTTTCATAATTCTCTATTAATATGAGTTAGATAGAGTTGAGTTGTGGCAGCATTGGAGCTGAAAATGAGTTAACCAAATATGTTAACAGTTTTCTGTGTTGTGAAGGATAATTACAATCTTGCTAGTACTGAACGATATATTGTCATTAATCTGATGGTTGCACTGCCACCCACAGTGCATCCACATTGTCCTGATTCCGACTCTAATCTTAGCTTTCTTCCTGCCCCTCCAGTGAATTAATCTACATGCTTGCTCTGATTTAAGCAGAAGTGTAGATTAGAGTTTGCTCAGTTCATTGTGGAGTGCTGCTGCTCTAAAAACCACAATCCTGCCGAGGCCAAGATCTAATTACATGGAGAGGGCTAAACTGCTCAGCAACCCTGCTGTGTTCATCAGGGAAGTGAATGGCGGCCTATCACTCATCCAACTCTCTGTTTACATGCAGAAAGAATTATCGAGTGTTATGCGATTTTCCTTTAGATAGTAATTACTCTCAGATTTAACAGTGAATTGGATCTTCAGGTAGGGGCAGCTGGTCAATACGTTGGTCCAGGGGGTAGTGTTAGAGAAGTCCATTCTGTGTTGGTGCTACTCCGATGATGGAGTGGACAGCAGTTAGGCCGCCTCACTGAGTCCTCTAATGTCCGCTCCAGTCCGCTTAGAGAGGACGAAGCGCCTGCTGTCCACTCCTTCCCCTCCCTCCTCCATCCCTCCCTCCCTGCTGCAGGTTTTATGAGCTCCCCTGGGCTCTCATCCATCTCTGTCACACACAGGCCCCATTATTGGGGCTACTCACTGGCCGGGCTGCAGATGGGAAGGGCCTGCAGGACATATACGGTTTCTGCAGCCGGACAAAGACAGGTCTGCGAGTAAGACCACATAAATATGTGGTCAGCTGGGTGTGGACAATACAATGTCTTCAGCATGTTTGTGAAAAGTGTGAGAATGTCCCTGTGCATCGCGCATGTGTGGGTTGACTGAAGCTTAGCAAATTACTTGAACTGGTTTGGCTATTGGGAACTTAAGACTGTGGATTTGAATATGAAGGACATGATAATCCAACGGCCATCTGGTCTGCTGGTCTCATCTGACTGAATAAATAACGTTGGACGTAATCTGAAAACACACACGGGGAGATTTGGAAAGCGGTTAAAGAAAGAGGGCAAAGTTAAGGAGTGAGATAGAGAGAGAGCAGCACAATCGCAGGCTGTGGATATTAAGATTTGATTTAAATGGCAATAAGAAGCCCAGGCTCCACAACTGCAGACAGCCATGAATAATGAATCATCAGCATCCACTGAAGGGAAGGCAGAGAGGCCAGTAATGACGGCTTTTGCCATATTCCTTTTTACCTCCTCGTTTCTGGCTCGTCTTCACCTCAGGGTAAATCGTGACAGTTCAATAATGCAAAGCTATGTCTGGAATGTCAAACTAATGCCTGAGCAAGAGGCAGCACTAGTCACCATGAAATACACAATTCTATAACTAACCTATTGTTAAAAACACACATTGACATATACTCTTTAGATGTGAACATTCACAGTTGAACATAGACAAACTATAACATTGGCTTGAGAGGGTAAACAGAATAGTGTGCATTGGGGAAAAGAAATATGAGGAAAAAGGTGATATGCAATAACTTTGCAATTCACAATAAATACATTTCTTAGGATAAATAGACAGACATTAAAGTGTTCTCAGTTCTGCCTTTATTCTGCTTTCAGTCACTGCTTGGAAACAACAATAATTAAATAATAGTTTTAGAATAAAAAAATTCAATTGAACACAGAATAATAATGTTCCACTTAAAAGTGCTGTTTTGTACTGATACTTACTTTCAACTAACTGAAAGAAATCCCTAAGTGCTTTCGCCATGTGTTTATCGCACAAGTTGACATTGCAATGAAGATTAAAGAAGAGGGATATATTGTGCGGGCTATTATACATTTGACCAAAGGAGTTTTTAGACTCCCGAACATTTGAATGCGCGACTCATTTCAGATACAATTCCAGTCATATGTTTTACTGGAAAACAAGATCTTTCCATGAAGGAACATGAAGGGAAACAATTCACGGAACAAAAGCTCTCTTTGGACTGCCCTCTGTGCTGGTGCAGAGCAGCCATGATCAATCAGAGCCCGGCCCGGTGACTGAAGTCAGCAGAGGAACAGACATTCCACTTACCCATTTTTTTTTATTTGTTTCCTTTCTTTTTTTTTTGATTTGGAGACTGTGCTGGTTTTTTTTTTGGTATGAGATAGGATCGCATGATGTAGTCTGACGCACCTCACTGGATCCGCACCATGAACGCAGAAGCCAGACACACCTGCTCCAGATTAATAACCATTCTATTGCGCATGGCCTATTGTGCCTATGGGGGAATGGCACTGCATCACCTAGATTCGCCTGCGCAAATCACTAGACGATAATATATACTCCCTACAACCCTCCTCTGACGTACATATTCGTGCTTTCTTTCGCTTCGTTTACCTTCCAACTCCCTGGTCCGCTCGTGTAAACTAGTAAGAGTGACTGAAACACACACTACACTCATCCCCAACATAAGTGTATGCCTTATCTTCTCTCAAAACTCTGAGCAAACCAGAGTGGGGGACAGACGGCGCTCACAGTGTCTACATATAGCAGTACAGCCTAACAAAGAGGCCTACGTGCTCAAGCCTGGTGACTCGGACGAGTTGGAACAGAACGAACAATGCTCAACTGGAACAGTTTGACGGAACAGACTCACCAATCATATCAAAACAATCGAAGCGACCACAAGGCAGTGTAACACACAGCACAACATGATCAAACTGTCTTTGCAAACAGCGGACACCGATTATCCCCGCACAGTCGGGTGGAAAACGAACCAACTCGACTCACGTATCAACCAACCGGACGACCAATCCCATACGACACACCACCCTAGTGCAGAAAACACACACAACCACACACACCAACAACCCACGACCGAGACATACTACTCAGCCAGAGGAACAGACATTCCACTTTCCCAATGTTCCATGGGAGACTGTGCTGATGAATAGCACACTATGCTGCAATCCAAAACCCAACCCCCCTCTTTCTTTCTTTCGTTCTTTCTCACTCTCTCTCTACACACACACACACACACACACACACACACACACACACACACACACACACACACACACACTCACTCTCTCTTTCTCCCTCCCTCTGTCCAGCCGGCCACTGAGCCTTTGGAGCTCTGGTGTACGGTGGGTGGGTGGATTGGTGGGTGGTAGGTGGGGGTGCAGGGCGGAGAGAGCAGGCATTCAGAGCAACATGCACGGGGGAAGATAACAATAGCTCCTCTGGGACACTGCAGATGTTAGCAGTACAGGGAAAAGTAGTGGGATCTTATCGCTACCCCAACATAAGCTGGGAAACTACAAAACAACACATCCACCCCACCGATCTGCTTTCACGCTCTTTCTTTCTGCAGGTTTCTCTTTCCCTCTTCACCTCCCATTCACCTTCCTCTCCCTCTCTGGGATATGTGAGCCCCTTCTGCTAACATGCATGGAAACACTGAAGAAGATTCCTTTCCAAACAGAAGAAAGGCCATTTGTTGTTACTGGCTGCTTGGTGTAAAGGAGGGTTGAAACAGTCAAGGACGCGTGTAGTTGACTGTTGGATGTTGACTTTGTTTTTTGTGTGTTTATTTATTTTTGGGAAATTAATTATTGTCCTTTGTGTGTGCTGCATTGGGGCAGTAAGGAAAAAGCAACAAGAGAAAGAAAAGGAAATAATTCAAGGACACTGGATTATGTATACAATCTTAATATATGCTGTTTGCATTTTAAGTACATTTTGGCTTTGAGAATTATTAAATCTAATCAATAAAAGCTAATTCCTGGAAATGTTTTTCTCTTTTCCATTGGCAGGATGCAATCAGTTGTCAATGATGCCACATGGACCCACATTGATTCATATCATGACCACAAAGCAAAAATGTTCTACTACTGTTTAGTTTTGTATTATTACTTCTACACCGCCCCACTATACTATTTTCTAATATTATTGTCATTAAAGGAAAATGTCTAACCTGATGTCCCTGTGTTTCTTTTTCCAGGCCTATTAAAGATGCACTGGAATCCAGAGCATGCCCAGTCCCTCAGCCAGTGGCCCGAGCAGCACCTGGACGTCTCCTCCACCACCTCCTCTCCGGCCCACAAGTCGGAGCTATACGCCGGTCGCGGGCGCGGTGGCTATAACCACGCCTGGGCCAATGACGACATATCCGCTCTCACGGCCTCCAACCTGTTGAAGCGCTACGCTGAAAAGTATTCTGGCGTGCTGGACTCACCATATGACCGGCCACCCAATGTTGGCACATACCCAGAGCCAGTGGGATTCGGGGGCCTCAGTGTCCCAAAGACTGAGCTGGAGCCCTGGCCACTGACACACAGCACTGATGCCTCCTATTCCCTGGTGCCCCCTGGAGGCCATGACAGCCTCTCAGGTTCCAAGGCCCAGTCCGCAGGCCCGCCAGGGGTTAGTATAGTCTCTGTGAACAGTAACCTCTCAGACTCGGGCTACAGCGGCAGCAGCTCCTGCAGTGGCTCCGGAGAGTATCCCTCAGGCTACAATGGCACCTATCTTTCCTCAGGCTACTGTCCCCAACCTGGTGCAGCACTTCCTCCTGCTTCCCTCCACACTCTCCAAACCAGCACTACCCTAGTCCCCAGCTACAGCCCTACCACACCTGTCTATAACTACCCCCCCAGCACGTACCCTCCCCAGACCAGCCTTGCCCAAAGCTACAGCCACCCCTCTGCAACTTACCTTTCCTCAGGCCTATCAGCCCTAACCCCCGTTCCTTCGAGGCCCACAGTGGTAGGAGGCAGCTACAGTTACCAGAGCACTAACCATGGGACATCTGAGTCTGGAGGGACATTAATAAAGAGAAAGGCATTTGAGATGAGTCTAGAAGAGGATGAGAGTGGGGACGGGTCTCGTTACAGGAAGTATGGCTATGACTCATTGAAGGCCGGGGGACACTCACCCTACAGTGTGAATGATAAAACAGAGTGTCGGGGAAACGGCTTCAGCAGTTCAGGCAGCACAGACCCTCAAACCTTTAAGCCCAGTAAGCCCTCCTCGCAGCCACTGGTGTCTCCTCAGTATGGGGCAGCAGGGGAGTACAGCCCCCCAGCGGGCATGACGGGGGAGAACGGTGTGTCAGAGCAGGGCTTCATCCAGCAGCACCGCTCCCACAAACGCCTTCCACTGTGTGCTCCGACTGCAGACCCTATGAAGAGTCCAGACCCCCGCATGTTGGACCTTGTCAATGGGGAGTTACTAGACTGCAGCCCGGCGCTGGGCTGGGGCGAGCTGGCCGGGCTCACACATGTCAAAGCTGCCCTGGAGGAGGACCTGCTGTGGCCCGTGTTGAGGCCCAGTCAAATGATTCAGCCACCAAGAACCGTCCTGCTGTTCGGCCCCCGGGGAGGGGGGAAGACCACGTTGACTCGTTCTCTGGCTTCACAGTTAGGGGCATCGTTCTACCGGTTGAGTGGAGCCATGCTGGCGTCCAAAGGGAAGGCTGAGGCCGAGCACATTCTGGGATCTCTTCTGCAGTTGGCGGGGGCACGGCAGCCCTCGGTGGTGCTGCTCAGCCAGGTGGAGGCCATGGAGGAGGAGGGGCTGAGGCAGACCCTGCTGAGCACCCTGGAGAAAGCCCAGGTGGGGACCCCAGGTCTGGTGATTCTTGTCTGTGCCACTGGAAGGCCAGATCTGCTGCAGGATGCGGTCCATCGGAGCTTTGCCAAGCGATATCACGTGGGCCTGCCTGATGTGGGTATGCGCAGGCAGGTGCTGCTCCAGGCCCTGGCGCCTCAGGGCTGCAGTCTGAGCGAGCGGGAGCTGAGCACCGTGCTGCAGCGCACAGAGGGCTTCTCAGTGTGGGAGGTGCTGCAACTCACCCAGCAGGCCCTCACCTCAGCCTCCTCCCCCACCAGGGCCATGCACGGCCACCCCACATCCTCAAAACCCCCAGCCTTCACAGACTTTGAGAGTGCCTTCTGCAAGGTGCGCCCACACACCACTGCGAAAGAACTGGACACTTGTACAGAGTGGAGCAAGATGTATAACCACTGAGAAGAGCAGCTAGTCTCTGCACTCGGACTGCATTACGACTCTGTCTTTGCTTCGACATGGAAAGCCTTGGGAATGTTTGGTTGTTGTTTTGTAATTACAGATTATGCAGCCAAAAGAGCCAGAGAAGCTCAACGCTAAGGGAGAGCTGACAGAGTTGTTTTAATGGCAGAAGCATGCCATGGTGTGCTGTTTTCATTTTCGTATGAATATCCGCAATATTTTAGTTTTCCCAAAGAAAGAAAAGGGCCTTCTTGAGTGGGGTAGTGTATTAGTCTTTTGGCCAATGGGAAAATCAGATTATAAACTATTTGGATACTCTCAGAGATCCTGATTAGCCTTGGTCCGGGACAAAATCAATTATGTGTTGCTAGGTGACGTGGTCCAAGATTATGGATGGATAATCAGGGTTTGGAAAATCCCCCTTTGACTGCTACTCTCAGGATCCTATTTATTGCCAGTCCACTTCATGTTGATTTAGTCATTGGATTGTCTCTAACTATTCAGAACAAAGGGCTTAGGATCAGCAACAATTCAGCAAACCACAGTTTTTGACCAAAAATACGTCAAACCAAATGCATAATCAGCAGTTCTGCAATATTTCAAAAAATAGACTGATACTTATAATCACAATAGATTATTCCAAACGTGCTGCTGTCCTTCCCGGGGGTCAAGTTGTCACTCGTCTTGTTTGGTTGTAATAATACTTCACATGCATCTTATTTAACTTACAAATAGTAGTATCCTATCACTTAATAGTACAATACATACATTTTTCTTGATCTCACATTCCTCATCGTCTGCAGTTTTCCTGAGAATCCTCACTTACCAAAACATGTACCTACAGCGTGTCTGTTGTCCCTTTCACTTACCCCTTTTGTTTTCTTAGTATGTAGTATTGTTTGAAATGCTCAGGAAGAATTTCTTTACCTCAGAAATATGATATAAAGAATGTATGTAATCTTAGGGTCTTAGTAGAGTGGAGGAGCGAGGAGAAACCTGAAAGTCTTGTAATCCCCACTACAGCTGGGCTTTTACCTCGGGAGAGAAACTTGAATATGCTACAAAGAGTAACATTGAATGTAATTCAGGTATTTCAAAGGATATTTGATGCCATAAATCCATGTATTATTATATATGAATATATAAATATGTTTTCTTTTCTGTTCTTCTTCCCTTTATTTGTATTGTAGTTTATGGTGGAGTGATGATTGTCTTCAACAAATGCTATGTAGAATACAGAAAATCCTCTTTTTTGTTGGACAAACTGTTTTCAAATCCCTGTGTTATTAAGTGATTACATATTCTGTATATGCATGCGTGCTTTATACTTTTACAGCTTCAAAAAACCATTTATACAATGCACATAATCATAAATGTGTGAAACAGTGAACATCTGAGCACAAAATACCTTCCAAAAAGAGAAAATATTAAGCTTTCAGCAAATCCCAAAGTTTAAGAATACACAGTTTATGTGTACATCTTGAGAATGAACCAAACAAGTAGACATACCAGAAAAATCTCCTTTTTCCACCAGTCCTTTTTTAACAAGCTGGAAAAAGCCTGTCAGTGGACTGCTGGTACAGAGGTCATACGTGTTAGACTGTTGCCATGGTCCTGAGGAGGTATACACAGAATGATGTAATATTTCCCACTGCCCTTTCCTTACACTCTCCTTCCCTCCCTCCCTCCCCTCCCTCATCATTATTTTTCTCTTTTTCTCTCCCCAGTGCAATCTCATTAGATTGGATTGCCCCCTGGCCACGAGCCCCAGTGGCCATGTGGCGATGTATCCTCTCCCCACCCCCCCCTCCTCCCTCCCTTTTCCCTAATACCGATTCCTCTGGAGTGGAAGTGTCTGATTGATGTCCAGCAACCCTACATCACAGTGCAGCCGTCCCTCTCCAGCTGGTGGCTTCAGTCATGCCGTACAGCCAGATCAATCAGAGTGACCCCCGCTGTGCATACTGATCACTGTCTCAGAAACCAAAAACACGTCTACAACTTACAGAACAACCCCTGCCTGAGCGTCTACATAAGGCTAGACATTTTTCAGATGTTATCAACGAGGCTAAATAATAACGATGACTTAAGCTACAACATTTTGATTTGTTGTTCCCACTTCCTTAAAGAGTTTGTCCAACAAAACAGGCGTTTATTTTTTACATGTTTTGATCTGTTATGACGGTAACTTTGTTCTTGGTTATTGTACATTTTCTGTAACCATTTCTACCTCATTTTTGCGGCATATTGTACATGAAAGTATTTATTTCATGTCTCTTGTGATGTCTGTTTTAAAAATGATAATAATGTTCTTGAACTGTAATGGTCTACCTCAGAAAAGACTGTATTTTAAGAGAAGAGTATCACACAATATTAAACAGAATTTGTCAATATTGCATTGCTGTTATTTCTTTGTTTTTTTGGGACTCCAATCGACCAGAGTGCATAAATAACATGATGGTGCTTAACATCACTATCTGTAGCTTTGCTTGACCCCAATGTTGAGGTCAACAAATGTACTTAAAAAGATTGGTAAATCGTTAATCTTTGACACACACAACACTATATCACAAGGTTTTGATTTGACTTCACACAGTAGTTGGTAAAGTCAGTGAACAAGAAAATAAATTGGTAGATTGTGGGTTAATGCAAAGGTGTGCAGTTTTAAAACAGCGGTTTCTAAGACTCTTTGACAATTAAAGACAAAATATTTTTACGTTCCTAGTGTTTCTACATGCACAAAAGTTTGCCAGCCTGCACGTGTGTGTGTTTCTATGTGTGTTGCAGCGTCCAGAGCAGCAACAGAAGCACCCCCCCCCCC